GTCCCCAGCCCCCCCCCAGCCGCATCTGTTCCTCCCCACTGCCCTCAGACGCCGCAAGAGGAAGCCGTGGCAAGCTGGCGAGGGGATGCACGTGGCAAGGAGGAGCCCAGGACCCTCGGCAGGCGGGAAGGCTCGATTTCCCCTTGAGGAGGGATCAGGGAGGCACGTGGGGAATAGAGGTGGCGCTCGAAAGCTTTGTCTAGACCCCAAATAAATCTTGCGGTTTCTTTTGTCTCCTTTCGCTGCCTCCCTCTTGCGCATGCCCTGCACGTGCCACCCACCAAGTCTTGGCTTTCCATTTGCACGGCCTCTGAGCATCTCGTCACACCACTGCACCCACCTCCCCACAGCCTCAACTGCTTTGATGCTCTTTGTTGCCCAGTGCTTGTGCCTGGCACTGGGTACCGGTGGGTTTTAAGAGGCTTCCTAGAGCCGTGCTGGAGGAGACAGGGTTTTGGCAAGAGGCTGTGCTGCCATGTACCTTTCATAAAGGGAGCCGTCCACCCAGAACCAGGCATCCGAGACTCCTTCACCATCCGGGTCCCCTTCCTCCAGCCAGCCATAGTCGTACCAGGGGAAGCTGCTCTTCTGCAGCCCAATCCAGTAGGGGATGTCCGCATTCTTCAGGAAGGTCTGGGGAAGGCGAAAAGGGGCGTTTTAGTGTCTTTTCCATGGTACCTATGTGCTGCAGTGTTTGCAGCAGTTGGCCATCTCCCCAAGGAGCCCCTGGGGCTGGAGCTCCTTGGGGCAGGACAGTTGAGCAGCCCTGGCGCCCTGGTCCAGCTTGGGCAGCATCCAGGGGTGCCAGAACCTCTCTGCCCCATGTCCACCACCAGCCACGTGCTCCAGAGACCAGCCTTGTACCCTCCAATATTTCAGCAGGCCAGGGGTCCCCAGAGTGATGCTGGCCTACCTGGGGAGCTGAGGGCTGGATGCACCAGCTCCTGCCCTCAGCTGCCCCAGCACCCTACCGGCACAGTCCAGCGACTCCAGGATTTGGTGACCAGGAGCTGAGAATACTTCTTCTCACACTCATCTCTGCTGTCCTCCCAGGTCTTCTTCTCCGACGAGATAAAGAGGCACTTGCCCCTGTACAGCAGCCAGCCCGAAGGGCAGCAATCTGGGGGCAGGGGTGCAGCTCAGGTGCTTGCTCAGCCACAGATGCCCTGGGGGGGACTGGGAACAGCCCTGTATCTTCCCAGAAGACATCACGGGCTCAGCCTCTTCACCAGGCATAGCCTCAGCATTTGGATCACACTTTTCCCACCATGTGGCCAAAAGAACCAGTGCTCGTGCCTTGGCACTGCACCTGCTGAGGGATGCCAGCCCCCTGAGGAGCCCCATACCTGCTCTACCATCGCCCTACCTATAGCCGTGCAGGAGCGCAGGATGGCCACAGTGCTCTCGCTGGTGTTGAGCTTCCCCTGCACCTCCTGCATCTCCTTCTCCATCTTCCCCAGGACCCCCGTGACGCGCCTCAGCTCGGCATTGAGGCTCCC